TCCTAGATGTACGTGTCACAAACTGAGGGAGACACATTTTGTCAGACGTGTTTTAGCGCGCCCCTAAGGAGCAAGGACGCTACTAGGGGCTCCTGGCCATACTACTAGGAGCAAGGGCCTTACTACTAGTAACAAGAAGAAAGTATATAATTAGACTTAAAATTACTAGTAAGGGTGCCTACGTAAGGGCGACTAGTTCGCTCCTAGCTACTAGGACGCTACTAGAGACTGGACGCAGGACAGCTCAAGCTTCTTCGAAGCGCTCGCACTATTCATTTGGTTCCTAGACTTTTTAGGGAAACTTGACACATCGATCATCAAACACATCAAACTCATTGCGTTTCAATGCCCAATTACTTCTTTCCATCTTTGTTCCCTAGGCCCTAAACACAGGAACTGTTGCGGACCGTGGCAATGTCTTGTCCTCTTGAGGCACTTGCAAACGAGAATCGGATGTCTTCCAGAAAGCAGTGTCAGAGTTGAAACGGTTGGCGCCGCAGCAATCGCACCATATGTCGCAGCATTTCCAATATCAATCATCCTCAGATGTGGAACAAGGACGCTACTAGGGGCTCCTGGCCTTACTACTAGGAACAAGAAGCTACGAACGTAACAAGGACTCATCTTGTTTTTTTCGTTTATCTTAGTTTGCCTCTACCTTTGGACGTCGTTGCAACGTGCTGACGTGGTGCGGCCACGTTGGCTTCCTTGGCTTTTCCTGGTCAGTCGGTCTTCGACTCAGTCTGTGTAAAAAGAAGTCCAGTAAACGACTGAAAAGACAATGAAACCACCAAGTGGCCAGCCTTGTGAACAAACTCGGCACTGCAAAGCACCGGCCAAAAACGCCAAGCAAACCTTATCCTAGAATATGCTTAGCCATTTGCTGCTACAGTTGGTTATCATTCTGTACGCTGCTGGGCTTGTACTGTGTTCACCATTGGTGGCGAGCTACTGTGTTCCTTCATGGCTTGATAGTACGAAACAGCTGCACTCCACCGCTGGTTGAATCCAAAGACTAAGCTGTGATATTCATATGAGTGGCGGACAAAACTTCTATAGAGTTGGCCCCTACCGGTTTTGCAAGGTCTTGATCATTTCAGAAATGCTTACGCCTGATGTGTGTCATCTAGCGGCCTGATGAAATTTACGCTGGATCTTGTCTCCCGGCATAGTTGGCACAATGCCTTTCCAAGCAGCTAGAGCAACAAGTACCACTTCACAAGAACGCAATAGAACCTAATAGAAAGGAGTTAGTAAACGCTTATTCTTCCTACTAGCGATGGCCTCCAACCTAGTAGTGATGGCCTCCAACCTATAGCAATGGCCTCCAACCTACTAGACCATCATTGATCATTTGAGCAAAACATCACAACCATATTTGTCCCCCC